GGGTGCCGGGGCAGGGGGCCGTGCCCCCAGCCTGCAGCACGGCATCTCCTGCTGCGGCCTTGAAGCGCTGGGGCACATCGGTGACCTCCAAAAAAACCACCTCCAAAAACCCCAACCCTCCGCCATCTACGTGTTCAAAGCCTTAGAAAATGTGTGTGTAGGGGTTCTGTTCACCAGCCAGAGAGCATGCTCGAGGCCATCAACGCGCCTCGCTGCCGGCAGCGCATGTGGTCACAGCTGTGGGCCGGGACGGCTGGGTACGAGCAACAACCTGGGCGTGAAAGAGGCTAATTCATCCCTGAGCAGGAAACCAGTGGGGTCTGAGCATGCACAGCTGATGACAGGTCCGGTCCTTTCGTCCTGTCCCCACGCAAATGGATGGGGAGGTTTTTAAAGTTGGGCCTTTTTGCAACCGTGCAGGGTTTGGGTGCCTGCCCGGGACCACACACTCGCTTCAGGCTGTGTAGCAGAGAAGCGTTAGCACCGCGGCCATTTTCCAGTGGTTGGCCGAGACGGGGCTGTTGCAGCCCTTTCCCAGCCTGGGGGGGCTGCTCGCCTGCCTGGCAGCCATGGGGAGCTGCACCCCAAATGCTCGGTGCCTTCCCTGGGCGCATTGCAGCCCTCCGCCTCCCTCGGCTGAAAGAGCCCGGCAGGCCAGCTTTGTGTGGGTAACTTGATGCTGATGACAGTTGGCAGCTGCAGTTCCCCCAGCAGACTGAGGCAAATAAAAGCATTAGGGCTCGTCCCAGAGGAGAGCGACAGGTGTTCACTCCCGCTCCTTTGTTTCCCTCCTTTTATTCTCCTCGCTAATGCATGTCATATTTTTACCGCCCGAGGAAACGGGAGACACATCCCCCGCTTGAATTGGCATTGTAAGCATGGAGCCGCACGCTTGCCTCCCTGTACGTGTCCGGCATGGCTCCCCTCCTGCTCTGGCATACCCCTGTTCATTTCGCCATTAAAAACCCCAGGGAAGACCCTCTGGTTTCGGTGGTGCTGAGGTTTTCCTTGCTGAGAGGTCCAGCGCGAGCTGGTGTGCCCACAGCTGCACAGAGAGCCCCAGGACCCCCAGCTCTATTACTTTTTATTGATCTGTGTCTGTAAGTTGGTGTCTGACTCGTCCCACATGGTCCAGCGGGTAATGGCACGCGTGCTGAGAAAGGCCCTGGTAGCTCTTAGTCAGTCCCAGTATTACTTAATGCTGCTTTTCATCTTCAAAGCGCCATATAAACATCTGCACCCACAATATGCTAATCTGCGTCTGATAAAAGAGCAAACCAGGATAGAGATGTTCAGCACCATCTTCTCATGGCCATCGCAGGGGAGCGCATCAGGGATAAAGCTGGCACATGGGATATCTTGGCTGGAGACCTAAGCTCAGACCACTCTGCTTTTTGTATCGCAATGAACAGGAGATTTTATTTTCAGAAAGGTGCTTCTGTTGTGTGTCTTCCTTGTATTTTAAAGCAACAATGCTTGGATTTTGGCAGAGAGTTTGCTCTGTAGGTGACATGTTTCATTGCACCAGGCAGGACAGAGTACCTGGGGCTGGATGACTAAATCTGTCCTTCCGCTTCTGATGCACCCAACGCTCCATGTAATGCAGTGTGAAAACTGGCTTATCCTTGTCATCGATACCATTAATGCAGACTAAGCAGAAATGCTGTTTAGGCCAGGCCAGGTACATAATGTTTTTGTCTTTAAGCAAGTAGAGACATCTGTGACTGCATTTTGTGTACAGTTTATTCATAGTTAGCCTAAATGGGAGGGAAAAAAGACAATTGTATGGGTGCAAATGACAGCAAAGTAATGGGTGTCACGATTTTGAAGGAGCCATCTTTGTTCTGAACCAAACTAGGCACGTAAGATCAGTAGACGCGTAAAAACACAAATACACACACAAACGTGTTTATAAAATGTGCAGTAACACACTGAATACGTGTAATCATGTGGTAAAAGATGGAACTCCAAGAGTTTGTGAGCTTGTTTTCTCTTCAGAGAAAGCTTAGCTTTTCTTAGCATACGTAATCAGAGATGCTCAAACAGTGGGGTTTACACTGGTGTAAATTCTGCTGATTTACACAAGAAACAGTGCACCGCTGCAGCTGCAAATCTAGTCCCCAAATCTGTCAGGCCTCTTTACTGCAGTTGTTTGTATTGGTTGTGTTTCAGAGCTAACTTAGGTTAGAGATGCTGCATTGTTAATCTAGGAAAATGTGAAGTGAAGGAGCTCCCGAATTCACCTCAGTCATGGTTCAGATGTGTCAGGACTTGGGTGATGAAATGCTGATGGCTGCTGAACAGCAATGATTTCTCACAAGCCTCAGATCTGCATGTTTTGGAGCAGTGAGGAGCCGCAGGCACAGGGTGAGGACTTCTGCATGCACAAGAAGAGGAGACTCCAGCAGCGGGCTAGCAAAGCTTGGCCAAGAAAGGCCAGAGAGAGTTGGCCAAGGCTATAACATCCAATTTCTGTTCTGACTTGGTGGGTGCTGATGGCAAGGTATTTTACACATTGCTAGCTCTTGCTCTGCAGCATGTCTTTTTGTATTTTCTTTGAAAAGCTGCAGGTCAAATGAGTTGACAAATGCTGGAGCCGTTTGTGCTGGACATTAAAAATGTATGTGCCATAAATATCAGGGCATTACTAGAGCTGCCATTCTGGAGGAAGAAGTCACTGCAGGCTATCTGCTCTAGCCCACAGGGATAATGTGACATTTTTGTGCCACTTTAAACAAGCTCCGTCACATCAGGTGAAGCGATTCATGATAACCTCATGCATTTTAATGGAAATGTCAACTGCAATCTAGTAAAAGAAAATGTTCCTTAGATACCTTGTCTTATACCTCAGTGCTTGCCCATGTGGTGGTTCCTGAAGGAGATTTCAGTAAACCCATCAACTTAGCCGTATCGTTCTTTCCAGGTTAAACCCATCCTGCTGTCTGCTGATGGGGAGGTGTATGGGCACTGCTTCTCCCGCATGAAAAGCGGGAGTTTAACCTTTGCTAGAGCAGGGAGCTCTGTCCTGCCAAGATGCTGGTGCTCCCACACATGATATATATTACAGTTTAGCCGAGGAGCAGCATGGTTTTAGCAGAGATAATGGGATCAGTGTCTTGCTGCATGTGTTTGCCTGCAAGTCCATGTGTAGGCCAGTATAATGCAGTATATAACAACAGGTTTTAATTCTTCATAGATCATGTGTGATCACTAATGCAGCTGTGGTGACAGCGGCAGAGGCAACTGTGGGAGACAATCCTGTAGCCTCAGCTACTTGCCATGTGTTTTGGAGGCCCAGGTAAATGGCAAATCCTCATGAGATGGGGGAGTCTGCCACGTAATGCCTCACACACTTCTGTTTGAGCTATCAATCAGGTGCATTTGAAAGGTCTCCGGCTCCCAGAAGAACATCCACAAAGGCATAATGCAACTCTGAAAAGTTTTAAGGACTCTACAGGCAAGTGTGCTGCCATCCACGTTCTTGAGCTTGAGTCAGTAGGTCACCCAGGCTCTCTGCAGATAATATAATCAGAGCATGGGATAAAGACATGATGAGCGTGGGCAAGGTCCATTGGAAATGCTTGAGTAGTTTCTTTCATAAATGGTATAACATCTGTTGTCGTCGGAGGCACAAGTTCCTCTCAAGGAGACACGTCATCCTTATAAATATTAATAGTGCATATAAGTAGTGGTGGGTGTGAACTGTGGTGGATGTAAGGTTAATGGGTGAATTGCTCCTTAGGCATCAGTTTGCTGTCATCATACTTATTTCTACACTAACAAATACGAACTGTTTAGGTGGCAGAGCAAGCAAAGAGCTATCTTCCCCCTCCTCCTCTCCCTGGGGTCCCTTCACAAATGAAATGTGTACTGTAATTAGTCTCCTGCCTTGTCTCAGATGAAAATTAGTCCCGCTCGCAGAACCGAGGTGGAGGGGAGCATGCCTGGAGCTGGAAGAGCTGAGGGCTCTAGGTGATAAATGAAGCAAATGAGGAAGGCTGTTCGGAGAAGTTTGCAGCATTCCCCATCAGCTTGATCCTAGTTGCCTTTAGTGCTATCAGTTTTTCTGCTGTTAAAAGCAAATGTTTAAGAGGAAAATCGGGCTGAGTATCACCACTGAGCTGCTCTTGGACTTGAATCTGTTTGTTACTGCAAATTATGTTTGCTGCCTTGAGCGTTGAGTTTCTGTTGCCCCTTTCAAAAACCATAAGGCTTTTCCTATCCTTTTTTATTTATCAGCAGACTTGGCAGCAGTGCTTGTGTTCATCAGCTGGGGCACAGAAGAATCGTTCATGCCAGCCACAACACTAATGAGCAGCATTCAGAAGGGTCTTGGGTCCATTCACAGAAGAGCCCCAAGACTGCGGTTGCCACCTGTGAAGGCTCGGGTTCCCCTTTGACTGAGAGGATGGGCCCTGCTTTCTGCCATTTCGAAGGTACTTGTGGTGATACTCAAATGCAACGAACGGGGGGGGGAGCTGTGCTGACCAAGTAGTGGGGATAGCAAAGCCTCTCCCCGCGGGTGAGTGATGGATGTGTGTTGTGCACTGTGGGGCTCCCCCCAGCAAAACCCCGTGTGCCACTTTTATTACCTTGTCATTCTTTCCCCTCAACCTGTTGGGCTCCAGTAGAGATATGTCTACACTCATATATCTTTGCAAACTGCTTCAACTTGTACCATTTAGCCTGTGGTCTGTTGTCAGTGACTGTGGCAGCGTCCTGTGTCTTGTGAGGTTAGAGAGACCGTCGCTTGGTCACATTGTGTTTGTGGAATTTATTTTAGGGAGGTGAGAATAACTATCTGAAGCAAGTACAGAGGTTTTTTCAGTTGGATTAAAAAAATAATAATCTGCCTGTGGTGCTTCAGGGAGCAGTTTCATGGTGTTTCCAGGGAAGCCTCTTGTATTTGATTTCTCTAATATTTTTAGCGTTTGAAAGTTACCTAATTATGGGGCTGACTTCATCATAGGCTTTATCCTATCTTTGTAACAGTGATGTGTATATCACTGGTCCTCCTCTGCAAGATATTTTTATTAGTTCCTAAATGACTTGCAGGCATCCTCGTTAAAGTACATTTTCTTCAGAGAAGGTGCTGAATCCCTTAAACACAACGCTGACTAAGGCTGAAAGTTTTTTTTAAGTGTGTCCCCTTCAGAGCATATTTCTTCTGATATGCAGTGGCCAGGGTAACTCCCAGTCTGTACCTCTGGCAATGACGCTCCAAGTTTGTTGACAGGACACAGGTTTAATTTTTATCAGATTAACATGTACATAATCAGGCTCTGAACTTTGCTCCCGTTTGTTTTGTGAAATGCTTTAGAAAATGCCTGCTTTCATCGTCTCTCACGGGTTTGCATTCATATTGCAAATTGCATATCTGTAGGTGGGGGAAAAAACCCTGTGCTCTCAGGGGGGTGTTTGTATGATCCTTTTTAGCAATGACAGAATATATTTTATGGTCAGTTTTGATAAACAGTGGTCTTCTCTAAATCAAAATGAGAAATATTTTACAGGCAGAGACTGATCCCCTTTACTTGAAAGTCCCAGCACCCATTTCGGTAGCTCGTGTTTTGTATAAATACTGGGTTTGACCCTATTGCAAGAGATACCTCAGCTTGCACAGATGTGTTTCTTGGAGGTATCCATGAACAACCTGGGATATGACCACAGTAACAGATATTTGTGGATCTTGTCTTAACTGTGCCATGCTCCCAGTCTGGGTGGGTTGTTTCTCAAAGGAGGTGATACTTTACAGCTCAGACTCCTTTTAATAGTACGGAAAAGGACCCTTCTGAGGACTTGGTCTATTGTGTACTATGGAAGAGGGCGTCTTTTAACTACTAGTTCAGAGTGGATTTTAGCCTTGCTGTCTTGCACAGCTCATTTACTTGGCATACTGCTCAGCTGATTTATGTTGGTGGTTGAGTCCCTTAACCCGCTGCAGAAGCTTC